ACACCGTACAACACAAAAAATAATGCATATTGTGTCCTTGCTGGTATTTGAACATCAGCGTGCATTCAAGGGAGAATAATTGAAGTAAAAACTGGCCACTTTAAAACTCATGTAAGGGTACAATATCGATTATAGAGCTGAAAACGACTAGTCAACTGACTGAAAATTAATATACAGCTAGTTTTATAAGGGATTGATTGAGTCACTTTGAAGCAAAAATGACAAACACAGATCTTCTCCATCTTTTATCACTTTAAACTAAAGATTTGGTTTTAGACTGTTGAAGACTGTGAATTTTTTCAGTTTCAAAAAAAGAATTGACAAATGAATCAATAATGAAAATGACCTCTGTAACAGAATTAAAGCTCACATTTACAAAATTTGTAACCATATCTTTACAGCTTAATTTAGCTCAGTATTAATAGTTAAAGGGAGGGAAGATTAATTTAACCTGAACTATAGAGGGAACCAAATGTAAGGTGTTAATTACTAAATAAATCAAATACGATGCTGTTATTTTGAAAGTAGTTAGTTTAAATGATATGTAATGTGCTGTAATTTAGTAAATTCAATTCTTCTCTCGTTAAAGTTAAACTCTTCAGTCCTGTTTTAGATCTCACTGAACAGCACAAACAACCACAAACGCATCATGAACACTTAAAAAACACAAAACAGACATTCACAAAACGTCTCTCACACATATTTATTGTAAAAAATACATATAAAAAACAATTTCTGAGACATACAAAAGATTGGAGCTTAGAAACAGTATATTGAACAGACAAAGACCAAGCCATTTTCTTGAATTGCATTACATATTTACAATTTAATAAATAAAATTCAATTTGTTTTAATACCAGAGTAAAGGCAGATTGTCCATATCTTGGGGGATGCAGATACCGCTGTGGTGACTCTTTGAAAAACATTCTCATCTAATACATCGGCCTCAAAGGACAGGGCACACAGGGGATCAGCGCCCTGCGATTCAAAACCAAGGGATTTAGGGACATTTATACAAAATACCGTCCTTGGTTGGAGAGAAGCTAGTTTACACACGGAGAGCGTTTAGTTAGTTGGTAAAAATTGAGGTATTGCACCACACAGCTTAGAGGGGGTAAGAAAGTACATAAGAGTAATGTGGGGTTTCAGATTGTCTATTATCTTTATCGACAACCCAACCACTACCTCCAACCCCCCTCCCCCAAACACACACACACACAATCACCCCCACCCAGCCAAAGTATACATCATCATAACTTATCACCACAACAAATGTAACATCTAGTGATCAATGCAGCTCGTCTCCCGCACTCGCTCACACAATGCCCGCCCAACACACACACACAGACATTTGGCATTATTTTTCTTTTCACCATTATACAAAAAATGACAAAACATGCACAGGGCTGCCCTCTAGTGGCGGGACAAGTCATAGCACCTCAGACTGCAGAACGCCAGAAAAGAAAAGGGGGGTGGGGAAAAAAAAAAAAAAAGAGGCTGGGGTGAACAAACTAGCCGGTAGGAAACCTGTGCACTGGGCTGCCCTCTAAACCGATCCATAGCGCTTGTAAGCACGGAGATTAAAACGCATGGAACAGACTCGCCTTTTGAGCAGGCAGCAAGAGCAATCAATTCATGTTTTTGTTCTTTCCCCACTTTATCCTGGCCTATGTACAGTACAGTCTGCACCAGACAGCATCTGTTGAGCAGCCTTAACTGTTGTGCTTCCACCTCAGTTCAGCCCTAAAAAACCAACAACAACAAAACACTACAAATAGCTGCGTGCACAAGAACCCCTTCACCAGGCAAAGGCAATCACACGGAAAAGGCAAAGGAAAGCCATTTAACATATTTAGCAATAATCATGATCATAATGTGATGATATAATATCTAAAAAACCTAAAAAGAAATAAGGGTGGGGGGGCTAGTTATGTAATAATTAACCATCAGCTGTCCATAGCCTCTAGTGCTGGAAAGAGAGACAGATGCCACATGGTGTAAACATGCTCCCAAAAATACATCCCTCAATCCATCCGTCCCTTTATCTCTCCTCGATCTGGCACCGATGGAACCAGATGGCCAAACTGTCCCTTGGGGTCCGGTCCAAAAAATCCGGACTACACCCCCCACCACTGCCCCCCCAGAGAGAGTGCTTTGAGAATGAGGAGAGAGGAAGAGGGGGTGGCGGGACTGAAAAAAACCCAAACCGCATTCAGAAGTACAGCTGGACCACATGAGCCGCCATGTTGCGTACCAATGCCACATGTAACAGGATGTTTGTCAGAGTGACTGTAGTTTAAAAAAACTAGCATTAAAAAAAAAAAAATAAGGGGGTAACCCGCTTGACCAAGCAGACTTCTGGGCCATTTACAGTAAACACACACAAAGCCACACACTTTCAGTCATGTTCAGGACATTATCCTGTCCCTGGTCATCGTGTCAACACACACACACACACACACACAAAACCCAGACCTCATGTGGAAAAAAAAAAATCAGCCGTGAAGGACAAAAGTGCTCAAATTGGTGCAAACACCAGCGCTGCTATGGCCCTATGAAATACCTACAACCTTCCTAAAAACACTCACCAAGTAGCAGCACATTAAACTCAGAGCTAACTAACCACCTACAAGAAAACTGACCTACTCATGGAAACAATTAGCCCCCAAAACTTCCCCTGAAATGTTTACAAGTTATAGAAAAAAAACCAACAAAAAAAAAACCTAGTAACGGCAGCCCCCATTCACCAAGAAAAAAAAACAAGCCCTCAACCTCCAGCTGGTTCAAAATAAAGCAAATGTTTATGCGGTAACAGTTCACGCTTTCAGTGTGAGGTTGGTTCATTTGGGGTTAGCCGAGGAAAGAAAACATTCATCCGATGTATGACATGGAACAATACTTTTTCTGCAAAATACTTGATAAAATGACCAATCCCATTTGGAGGGAGGAAAAAAATACACAGGAGAGAACCCAGAGTCACAGTTAAACCATTTTTTAGTCGTGTTTCCTCCCTAAGTTAAAGATCTTTCGGGGGGAAATCCACCGTTCTGGGATGATGATGTTTATTAGATTTTTTTTTATGTTCCGCGGAGTCAGGGCCAAGTCCGTAACATAGAAAGGGAACCTCCTCTGCTTCTGTTCCAAAAAAAAAAAAGGGTCTTGACCAGAGATTAGACGGAGCCACTGTTTTGTTTTTTTTTTACTGTTGGAGTTTGGCATTTAATTGCAGAGGCCAAGTTCAAATGGACCGATCCAAGCGGAGAGTGTCGGGTGTCGCTAACTGGAGCTTCCCCTTGGGATCGTCTGTTCTCCACTCAAATATCGGTTTGTGTCTGAGAGGGACAGAGGGCTGTTATTTGTTCAATTACACGCTTTCTTTTATTGGGATTTTATTGGGATTCAGTGTAGTCTCCTGTAAGGGCGGAAGAAGACAGAGCGGTGGTTAGACAAATATATACTGTAATGGCTGTATTCATTTATTATATGAAATGGTTCTGTTCTGGCTTCTTCAGTTACATTAAACAAATAAAGGAAAGATTAACATTTCAATAACTAAAATGTAGTTACTGTATTGACACCCAGCCCTAAGCAATGAGTTGGTTATTAGCTACTGTTGGATACTGATTATGTGTGTTTTGTATATGATGTAACTTGCAGATCCCACGTTTATTAAATCACAATTCTCCTCGTGGCTCGATTACTTTTTCTGTGTGTTGGTACGGAAAACTACTGGCCATAATCTGCTCCAGTGACTCTGTAGATTCTGGTTTATTTGACCTTTCTCACAAACAAAGCTTATGTATCTCAACAGCAGCGTTGTTGTGCCCGATAATGAAGCTCACTGGGTGTCCTGCTCATTTAGCGGATCTTACACGTGCGTACCTGAGCGGGGTTGGTCACTGAGCAGAACACATGTGACCCGGGAGTCAATCGAAGGGGTGTTCAGGGCAGCAGGGTTTCACCTTGGACCAGGAATCAATGCAGCTGCAGGGAGAAAGAACACAGATGAGGTTGGAGACACAAAGACATTTGGTCACGTTAATGTGGTAAAACCTCTCTGGTGGGTTTTACTGACAGTGAAACCAAACTAAATGCAATTGCTGTAGCGGGAAGTGGGAACGCTTAAAATATGAGAAGTGTGGTGGGCTTGTGCTTCTTTTTATTTGCCTCCATCACTGATATAGAGCAGAAACAATGAGTCCACATCGAGTGGTTGATCAACAGATAAAACAATCTGCAACTATTGTGGTCCCATTAATCATTTAAAGTTATTTCTCAAGAAACAAATGGCAAACTAAAACATTTACAAGCAGCAGCTTCTCCGTTGTGATCGTTTACTGCAGCACATTTGGGTTTATTGATCGATCGAACTGAATGAAGACATCATGTGGAGCTCCTGGGGATTGTGATGCCCTTTTCTCACATTTCACTTTACAAACCAAATAATTAATAGACCAATTAATAAAATAGCAGGCAGATTAATAAATAAAGGAAATAATAATTTGTTGCACTCCAAGACTAAGACATGAATTGCACTGTTTAAAAAAGCCTGTGTAGGTACTGTATGATTATTCTCAGCCCTGCAATCTTTTCGATTCTTAAAATTCAAGGCTTTTCTTTCTCAAATCTCAGTTGCTCGGCTGGGTGGATCAGAATGTCAACTACACAACCAAACAGCCACACCTACAAACTGTGCTACGAGCTCCTTCCTCTATGAACAAAACAAAAGATGTGTGCTTCATCTGAGATTAATTGGTGTTGAAACTCACATAAAACAGCTTGAACACATAAATGATGACATACTAAATAGCAGGCGGGATCTTCACTACAATGAATCAACCAATCGTGGTACATTTCAAGTCCCAGCAAGTCCAGTCTCATACTGTACTGAAATTATGGGAAACTAATGGTTCCTTGGAAGTTGTGAGACACCAAAATTACAGCGCGCTTTGAAAATGAGAATTAGAAGTAAATGGGCTGACACATGCATAAACATTTTAACAACTTCATGGTTATTTCTTTTTCCTACGAGCTTCAAAAACACTTTCATGAGACTTTAATCTGGTATATCTGTAATTAGATCTTATTAAAATGTAATGATGCAGTCATTTTCACACTCGTGAAGGCTCTAGTGGAAAATTCACAGCGTTTACTTAGAAAATAAATGGTTAGAGGACAGAAACACTGTTGGGCTTTTTCTTTTCCTACATAAAGTGAACAGATTTCCACTCTTACTGCACTTATCTCATGTCCAAAATAATGATTCTTAACGACAGCAGTGGTTGTCAAGATCACGTTTGATGGCTCTCTTATTGTCAGAGACGTGTAGTGATATGTGCACTTGGTTACCACCTTTTTTTCTGATCTGGAAATAGCCAAATAAATGCACAACGTCGGTTTGTAATGTCCCCTGTGCTCATTTGCATTTCTTTTTTAAAACCTCCTCCTTACATTTGTATCCAGCTGGACGTTATTATAATGCAAATACACCAACGGAACTTTCTTACCTCTTATGGTAGACGCAGAGGCAAGCCAGCCTGGCGATGGTCTCTCCCTGTACCAGATCCTCCAGACAGATGGAGCACTCTCCGCTGTCTTTACTGAGCACGTCCGCTGCGCACACACACACACACACACACAAAGCAACCATAAGTGTTTCCAGCTGTTTAAAAAAAACACATCCGTTTGGAGCTTTTTCTGTGACAGGACACTTACTATTGTAAGGTAGGGGAGGAGAGGTGAGGCAGCTCAACAGGTGATCCTCGATGCGACCCCCCGGGAAGGGCTTTGAGCAGAAGGGACAGCGGATATCTGCACAGAGCGGAGGCACAACAGAGCTGACGTTAACACACCGTGTGACTGCTGAGATGTAAACGACAGATGATGTTCACGTCACGTTGAGCACAAGCGCTGCGTTCGGACATCTAGATTACACGGGCTGACTTTGGCAAACCGAAGGGCAGACTGAAACACAATCAGTCGTGCATGATATTACCTCGAGTGCAACCGACCCAAAGTAGTTTGAAACTTCACTCGAGTGCGAGAAAAGTGACAAGAGCTGGAGGGAAAGCCACCACGAGAGTGGATGGGAGAGACGGGGCAGAAGCAGTGCCTTGCTGCCCTACATTCTCCTCCTCCATCTATGAGGCGCTGCCAGCAGTGAGCGGGGCGTTTGTGAAGTTGTGACCCATTTCCCCACACTTGCTGGAGGGGCTGGCCTGGGAAAACCCACCGCAATGTTGTGTTTTTGGCTCCCAATGTCACGTTCGCCGTCACACAATGCATTTTCACTTCCCTCCGCGAACTCTTGTTCCCGTTTTGATGCACTTTTACAAAAGTTACTTAATGTTTTCAAACTCTCCGGCTGCAGAATTAACCGCCGACAACCAATTGTCGACGGGCCTTGTGACATGAAAGAGCTTGCATGTCACCACTTTCAGTTTTACGCCATCGCTCTGCTTCATACAATAGGGTCTCTGATGATTTTAGTCAGCATGCAAGCACGGGAAAAGAGATTATCTGTTCAGGAATCTAAATTCCAAATAATCCATGCTAATTTCAGACTGGGTCGGTGAGAGCTACACCGCGAGATATTTCTATTTAAATTGTCACAGTCTGATGTAAGACTAAAAGGCTTTGAAAACAGTCTTGCATATCTTTTCCTGGCCCTGAAGGCAGCGTGAAGTGTCCAATTGAATCTGACTTTGTTTTACTATAATGAGTTAAAGTGGCAATATTAATATCCCAACCTACATGTACCAACATATCCATATTACTATTAATATCTCTGAAAACATGCCTCCCACTTCTGTCTTCAGCTGTCTCGAGGAAGCATCAACAGTCATAGCCAAAGTGTCACACTTCATATTTATATTGGGAGGTATTGAGTCATTTAATTTAGTGCTATAAAGATCATATTGGGATCATTTTGACAAATACTGCGATTGCCATATGATTGGTGATAAGTGGGAATGATCGTTTTTGGATCCCAATTTAAAGTTTCACTGAAAAAACTGTGAAAACTTGTGATGATGTGACATTTGTCGGTGTCTTATAATACTTCACTATAATGCTGTTATGACTCACATTTAACGTTTATATATCAACAAAAAACAAACAAAAAAAAACAGCATCTTCTTGCATTTGGATATTGCTTTTTTTCTATAATATTGTGATTAATTGTTTAATTTGATAATATTGAATTGAATAAAAAAAACAAGGCTCACCATCAACTACTGGTGGAGAACATACAATTATTACAATATTATAACGATATATATGTTATAAATAATATAATATATATAATAATAATAAACAGATTAACACTACACACTGTTGGGAAGTTTACTTACTGCCATGGCGTTGTTGACCGGTAAAGCCGATCCAAGCCTCCTGACACCCCCGGCCGGCTGGTGGTGTGCCCTCGGAACCGCGGCGATCTTGCCGCCGACGCTGCGGGCGGAGAGTGCCGATTCCTCGCCGGGCAGCCGCTCGGAAAAGTGCGGTGGGCGTGCGGCCTGTCTCCCTCTCCCGGGCTGATGTTCCGCAACACGGGCCGACTCCGGGCCTCACCGCGCCCGTCCTCTGCTCCGGTTTCCCCTCGCTTGTTGTTGTCGTCCCGCAGGGCGACGCTTGGCCAATGCAGCCGGGATGCGTGTGGTCCGCGGGGCTTCGTCGCGCTCGCCCCCATGCTGGCCCAGGTTCGAGTCGGCTGGCCCTCCTCCGATCGGCTTCTGTTGGCCTCCCGTGTCCTCGAAAGCTCCCGGAGAAGTCGACCAAATGAGAATGGTGGGCCGGGCCCCGGCCAGCGGGGTCGCCGGTACGAGTCCGCTCACTTGGTGCCATCGTTTCCCGAAAAGCAGGGGGAAAGCCGGGTCCTTCCTGTATTGCGACTTGCTCTCGTCCCGCATCCCTCTTTAAGCGAGCACCAGCTAATTCAGCTGCTTCCTCAAGAGAGCCACCCGAAGAGGGGGGGGAGAGGGGGAGAGGGAGGGGGAGGAGGGAGGAGGAGGGGGAAGAGAGACCCAGTTCACCTCGAAACGACCCTTAAACTGCCGAATATTCGCGTGGGACTTTAAATGATACCAACGGCCTGGCAACCGAGCCACACGAGGAGGTGTCGCTGGTTCTGTGTTCCGTCTCCCGGACTCACAGCTCCGACACATTTTAACTTCTCCTTTTTGACGGCCCGTTTTCTCCGCTGCTGCAGCCCCCGGAAGTAAGGAGACTCCGCTTCCGTCCTGAGCCGCGCGCCATGACCGGAAACAGTTTAGGTAAACGTCACCGGTTTGTGAATATTTAAAAACTGAAATAATATCATGTTTTTTATTATATTATATATATAATATATAAATAATAATTTGTGGATATTTAAATAATAATAATTTAACAAATATATAAAAAAAATTTGTTACAAAATATTTTTTTAATTTATTTGTCAAACCTGGTTATATATGTTAATATGATGCTTAAGCTTACACACATACACACAACACATAAAATAAAACAACTTTTAACACACACACCAACACAAAACATAAACACACACATTAACTTTAGAACACACACACACCACATGCACTATAACAACTTTTACACCACACTGTTCCTCAATCTCTGACAATACACACACACCAACACGAAAAACATAAACACACATTACCTTTTAATACAAACAGACACACCGTATACACACCACACACAATAACAACTTCAACAAACTTCCTCACTTCTCTTGACATAACACGCAAAGAACACCAAACAAGAAACATAAAACCAATTACCTTTAATCAAACCACACCATACACAACACCACACAACAAATAACAACTTCAACACACACTTCCTCCCTCTCTGGACACCACCACACCACAACAACACCAACAACGAAAAACATAAACACACACACTACCTTTAATACAAACCACCACACACACGCACA